CTGACTTATATGCCACCCGATAGCCCTCATCCAGCAGCTGGTGGAAGTAGAAGCAGACACCCACAACTAATCACTGAACAGAACTGGAATCCAGATGCAGAGGACGTCTGAAGAGCAAAGGGGTCAAGACCAGGCTGGTGAAACTGACAGAAACAACTGACGTGAACATCGGGGAGTATCCACACTGCCAGAGAAGCTAGTAGACAAAGAGGACCCTAAGAGAGACATACATGGTCCCTGGGAGAAGGGGAAAGGGTCAAGATCCCCTGAGCAAATTGGGAGCACAGGAGGAGGGGGAGGGAGCTAGGAGAATGAGAAGGGGAGAAGAGAAGGGATGGGGAGGAAATGAGGGAGCAGAAAGGTTGAGTCAGGCGAAGAATAGAAGATAACAAGAATGGAGATACCATAATAGAGGGAGACATTTTAGGTTTACAGAGAAATCAGCCACTAGGGAAATGTCTGGAGATCTACAAAGTTGACACCAGCTAACAAACTAAACAACAGAGGAGAGGATACTTTAAGTGCCCTCCCCTGATAATGAGATTGATGACTGACTTATATGCCACCCGATAGCCCTCATCCAGCAGCTGGTGGAAGTAGAAGCAGACACCCACAACTAATCACTGAACAGAACTGGAATCCAGATGCAGAGGACGTCTGAAGAGCAAAGGGGTCAAGACCAGGCTGGTGAAACTGACAGAAACAACTGACGTGAACATCGGGGAGTTCTTGCTCCCCAGACTGATATCTGGGATACCAGCATGGGACTGATCCAGACCCCAGGAACATGGATTTCATTGAGGAAACCTCGGAATTCTACGGGTTCTCCTGAAGTAGTTCAGTACTTATCCCTAGCATAGGTGTGGACTCTGGGAGCCCATTCCACATAGAGGGATACGCCCTGAGCCAAGACACACCGGGGTGGGCCTAGGCCCTATCCCAAAGGATATAATAGACTCTGATGACACTCTGTAGAAGGCCTCACCATCCAGGGGGAGCAGAAAGGATGTGTGATAGGTAGAGTTTTAGTTGGGGGGGATGATAGGGGAGGAGGGGAGGGAGAAGGGAACTGGGATTGTCAAGTAAAACAATCTTGTTTCTAATTCAAATAAAAAATGGAGGAAAACAAAAAAGAAAAAAAGAGAGAGATGCTCCTACCCATGAACATTCTCCCAATCTTTAAAATGGGAAGCACTGCATGGTTTGACTCCTCCTTCTGTGTCATTATTAAGAAATGGTAAAAGAGGGGTGAGCCAGAAACATTGCCTATCCTGCACATCCAAATATGCAAATAACCTCATGGTTTTCTTTTTCTTCTTGATGAAGATATTCTAAGTGACTGCTTACAAGCTATTTTAACGGGACATTGCATGTCAAACTACACCCAGGACAGTTACTGCTATGTAAGGACTTACACACACACCTTCCAAAAGCCCTTGCCCCACAGAGGGCTAGAACTGGCCAAGGCAAGGGTCTGGAAGATGGCTTATTTTGTGGTTGTTGTTTTCTCAAGTAAGGTATTAAGTCATTGGGGACTTCCGAAAAGGGTATGGCTTTATGTTAACTAAATAGAGAGACTTGTGAATGGAGACCATGGAGATTTACAGTGTGAGCAACTCAGAGGCCAGGTTTTACAAGGGATTCCTGGTGGATTTTGTATGGTCACACATAAGAACGCTCATAGTGGGGTTGTTGCTAATGGCATTAACTGTGTATTTACACAATAATTATAATAATGAAGATGAGGAGGGCAGCATAGGCTTTCTCCAGGGAAACCAAGGTATAAAAGAGCTGCATTTCTTTTGTGCAATAAAACTGTTTAATTCAATGCAGTTAGGGTCTTCTACTTCAGAAGTAGAAACATCGAGTTTTAGCCCCTTCCATAGAGGCAATGAGCTCATTTGTGCGTTTTGTTCTTTTTCATCTAGCTTTGCTGCAAGGTGTTGACTGGCTGCAATCATTATCCTTAATTGGCCCTTTTCAAGGCTGAGACTCACCTCCGTGGCCTTGCCTATCTGCCTTAATTTCATGTGTCAGGTCCATGTTCACAACTTGTATAGATCGGCTGTGGAGAATGGCAAGTGCTTACTGGGGAGCGTTAATTCCATAATAAAGCAGGTGTTAAAGCAACAGCTGATTGTGCCAAGTGACAGTGTCACTTGTTTATGGTTAAATGTGCCCACAAAGGAATGCATCCTAATTATTAGCTAGTGTTTTCATGAAGACTTTAAAACCCTGGTCCACAAAGTCTAACTTCCCCCAACTGCTAACCACTGAGCACCACATGCAGACATGCTGTTTTCTTCCTCTTTATCTTTCACAGGTTTTCTTTTTGTTTTAGCTTTGATAGGAAAAAAAAACTCCAGTCATTTGATATCTAAGAAAAACAAATTACTATCGTAAGTTATTAATGTTTATCATTTAAGTAATAATGAAAGACATCTAATGTCGGAGTAGGGAGATGGCATCTTCCTGTCCAATTGATCAGGTTGCTAAAGATCAGATCATACTTCATTGGTTTGCAGAGTGCTTCCTTCTCTCTTTGTTAATAAATTATTTAAATTAGAAACTATCTTACTTTACATATCAATCCCAGTTCCCTCTCCCTCCCCATCCTCCCATGGCTCCCCCCCACCCGTCCCCATCCACTCCCCAGGGTGGGTGAGGCCTTCCATGAAAGATCATCAAAATCTGTCAAGTCACTTGGGGCGGGGCCTAGGCCCTCCTCTGTGTGTCTAGGCTAAGTGAGTATCCCTCCATGGGGAATGGGCTCCTGGAGTCCATTCGTGCACTAGCGGTTCCATCCTGGTTCCACTGCCCAGGGCTCCGAGCTGACACCCATGTTCAGGGGGCCTGGTTTGGTCCTATGTTGGTTCCCCAGCTGTCAGACTGGGGTCCATGAGCTCTCTCTTGTTCAGGTCAGCTGTTTCCGTGTGTTTTCCTAGCGTGGTCTTGACCCCTTTGTTCCTCACTCCTCCCTCTCTGAAACTGGATTCCAGGAGTTTGGCTCAGTGTTTATCTGTGAGTCTCTGCTTCTGCTTCCATCAGCTACTGGATGAAGGCTCTAGGATGGCATTTAAAGTAGTCATCGTTCTTTTTATAGGGGAAGGGCATTTAAGGTAGCCTCTCCAGTGTTGCTTAGATTCCTAGTTGGGGTCATGTACAATTCCCTAGTGCCAGATTTCTCTTTAAACCTATCGTGGTTAGCAATGGAAGTTGTAGCTGCAATTAAATGGCCATTTGGATGCATTTGCCTTTGAAAATGTGTGTTTCATTTGATTCAAATGCTTTTGGTTCAAGTTTCAAAAGCCCACAATTCTCTCTCTCTCTCTCTCTCTCTCTCTCTCTCTCTCTCTCTCTCACACACACACACACACACACACACACACACCCTACTGCATTTAGGAAATGGCCCTTTGCTTTTCAGCTGATGTCTCTGCAGAGAGCCTGTTTTGCACAAAAAAGTTAAGTGCTTATTTCTCAGAAATAGATTCCGGACACTTTTGACAGCAATAAAAACATCAGACAAGTACAGCGCACTGAGTCGGCTTCAGTTCAGTACTGAACAAGTTAATGTTGAATCAATATCAGCTGTTCTCTTTTGGCTGCGATGGTAATTATTTGCAGGGTTTGTGTTTGTTATTTGTTTTTGTTTTGTTTTAATCAGTTTACCAGTACTGCATGAAGTTCCTTTCCTTAAAAAAATGGCATGACTCTTCATTTTTTTAAATAATAAATTACTTTAACATGATATTGCAAATGGAAAGTTAAATGGCAGGGTCAAGGCAGAATTCTACCAAGGTGGTCATCAGGTAAGGAGTCCAAAGAGATCGAAATCAAAAGGAACGAGAATGCGAGAATGCTGTGTTTAATCTCCATCAGAAACTGTATATATATATATATATATATATATATATATATATTCT